CTTCTTAATCATAAGATAATGCTAATTAAAATTTTGTATTCGGGTGATGCAATACTTTTGAGCGCCACTGTATAAGAGGTCAAGATTTCCATAAGGGTACCTAAGTGATCGACAGCCTGGGCCGATATGCCTAAAAAATGGTATTGAATCATGAGCTAAATCACATAAACTTTTCTGATATAATATATCATTTTATTAGTTTTATTATAAGATAAATAAAATATATTCGCCGTCGAAAACTAATTATATACATTATGAAATCATCGTTTTTTTCTAAAAAAAAAAAAATGCGAAATTACAAAAAAAATTTTAGAACTAAATTATTTTTTCTCATTTTCCAAAATCGCGACAAGTAGACATTGAACTAACTTATGAAATCATAAATTAGAGGTGATGGATAGCAGCAATTCTTACAAAATCATAGCAAACAATAGCTTATACATGGTATGAAACTTAATTTCAAATTTCATTAAATTTTATCATTTATATATTTATATCATAATAATTTTTTAAAGATCATAAGAAATTTTATTTATAAAATATCAACACAATTTTTTTATTTATTATATGAGGATAAAAATACAACTCATATGACAAGACTAAAGAGCAAATATAATAAATAAATATAGGTAACTTACATTATCGATGTCGGCAAAGGGTCCAAGGAATGGGGGGTATCCCAAAGGAACACCTACTCGCAAATTGCAGTTTAAGGCGAAACAAACCTAACAAAATTATCTTTGTTTTGGTAAGTTTCAACATAAGGGAAGATACATAGCAATTTCTATCGCCAGAAAAAGCAGACCCTTACGAACTTTAACTGCATTCACGAGTAGTACAATTGAAGCATTATAGGCAAACAATAGGTAGGTCCCCCCATTATTCGTCTGTTTGAATTAGAAAATTAAAAAAAAATTTAAAGTACAAAAATCAAATGAATATACCTAAAATGTCCACCTTAGCCCTTTTTCGTCTCTTCTAATAAATAAAGAATATTAAACATTAAATAAAGTTCATCACTAAAACATTTTTTTTATTTTTTTAGTCTTGTCAATATGAGTTGTCATTATCGTGAGAAAGGAAAAAGGACAAAGTTCGCCACCAAGTATCCCTCATCGTCGATAAAATTCTGAAAAAGAAGTGAATAAACGTTATCTAAGCCAGTAGATACGCTTAGGAGCAAATAATATCAAGGAGAAAGTTTTATTTCATGCTGAAGTCTATATTCCAGAGAACAACAGGAAGAGGTAAGATGTATCACTCGCTGAAAGAAAGATGCACCAGTTTATTAAGGTGAGCCAGTTTTTTTATGTGAATTTTTTTTTGTTAAAGGGATAAGCAAAAAAATAACGTCAAAATTTTGTGTTTGAAGTTTCAGGTACGATGGGAAAGGTACGTTCACAAACTTTCCGCTTCTTTTGTTTTATAAAGGAAAAATAAGTTTTAACACAAATAATGCATGAAATTCTTTGCCATTAAAGGGATAGACACTCCAATAAGAAAGCTAAATTTAGTAAATATACCATGGTTCTTTGTATTGACCGGTTCAACCGTAAGTCGTGCGCACAAAAATGGGAAATGGACATGGATACTGTAGAATATCGATTAGCCAATCACGAGATATTCGCGATTGATTTTGAAATCAGTTCCTTTAAGTAGAATTTATTGAAATATAATTTCTAATTAAACATGAATTAACATTTTCCTTTTTTTTTATATGTATTATTAATATCTTAATAAGGTGAAGTGTGGGGTGCGCAGTATGTTACGCGGTTGTAGCATGACATGACCCTAAACATACTAGTCTTGTTGCTAAATAGTCCATTTGGGAGAGTTGCGGAGACCACGAAACCTTGGTGAATTAGAGGCTTTTTTGGGTGAGGAATGGGGGAATATACCAAATCAATTTTTAAACTCAATGCTACAGGTTATAAGGATGTTATTGAAATCTGTTTTATTTAGTAACGAATGTTTATTAATATTAATATTTATTTTTTTAGGGTGACACTTTGGGAATAGGATATTTTCTTTTTTTTTTTGTAAAAATGCCAGACAAATTTGCAAATTTCGGACTTTAATATAAATTGAGAGGTGGGTTTTTTATTTTTATTTTATTTATTTTTTTTTTTATTAAAATAGAAACCTATTAAAATTTCTTTATTTTTTTTGTATGAATTGCCAGATGGAAAATGAATTGTGCTGAAAAGTGATTATAAATGTTTTCATTTTCATTTTATTTTATTCTTTTTACCACCATTAGAAGTAAAGATATTTTTTTATTTCACCTTTAACGTAGCAATCGCAAATTTGGGAATAAAGAAATGACTCGCAAGAGATTGCATTAATTCTTTACTGCTTCGGCAGTAGGTGTATTTAAGTCTTTGGGCTTTATTGAGAAAACATTTTTATAAAAGGCCTTGTACTTGTATATTCTACTTCCTGTTATAATTTTACTTGACCTTTGTTTACATTTGTAATATTATATGTTTGGTTACTCGATATTTGTATTTTACTTGGTATTTGTATAATATCCCCTTTATAATTTCATTTTCATTCATTACATATTTCATGTTTATATTGCAAGGATTTGATGAGACGGAACATTTTGGTTCGACTTGCAAGTCTTTGCGCGTGTAAGAAAAGGAGAAGAGTCGACCTTCGAAACGGAGGGTTCAAGTAGCCGTAGTATTCGCACTTGGGAAGATTCATGAATTTAGGTTATGCTAGAAAGTTACCCGGGGTTTATAAGGAGGCATGAGTACTCGGTGGTAACATTTCTCAGAAATTGGGAAGCTATAGATGAATCGTTATGGCTGTGAATTTTCATTCATTTCCTGCATATTGTTATTTATTCCTTTTATTTCTTAACTTTCGATGTCGTCGTTTGATTTCCCAAAAATCACATTAATTGCTAATTGGATATTCAATTTGGTTTCGCAATTATTGCTCAGCCGCTTATCCACAGCACACAGTTATTCTTAAATTAAATAAAAAAAAGATATAATTTTTCTTTTTTAGGATTTTCTTGTATTGCCACGTGAAAATTTAAGATCTTTTCGTGCAACTAAACTTTTTGATTGAGTTTTTTTGCGATTTATTTTCGATCTTGATTTCTTTTTACCAACACTATGCAGAAAAAAATATTATTTTAATTCCAGCAAATATTAGTAAATGAATTAGCAGATAAGATACAATGGATTTTTATATTATGCATTAAGACTTATAATAAGAATACTACGCTAATCCCGAAGCGTATATACAGTAGGTCATTATTACTAATATTATTGACTTTTAAAAAAAAATAATAAATCAGAGATAGACTTTAGTGCTTTTATATAGATAATTAATGCAAGAATCCCGACGAAGAATTCACCGCACGCCGTAAGATAGCTGCGCGATTAATCGATCTTTGTCTTTTTTCGAGTCGCCGGGAACATCCATTCGTGAATGGATGTAATAATGTCATGCATCACGACAAGAAACTTACTTCATCAAAACCATTTGCACTATTCTCAAAAAACATTAAAAGGATGAATTAGATATCGTAAGGGAATAAAAAGAGCAAATCGAAAATTTCCTCATCTTGATTGCTTGTGCTGCAATTCTAACAAAGACGACTAAGGTGCCATTATTTTCGATGGAATAATAACAGGAACAAAACCAGCTGCCAAAAGTTCCATTTTAGCTTTGAGTTTAAAATTATCTATCATCTGCTATGTGATTTAGCTAACGACGGTGAGTTTGTTATTAAGGCTTTGAGTTTCCTCTTGAACTCTTTACAAATCTTTTCGGAATTTTCTATGTAAAGGAAATATAAACCGTCGCATACTAAAAAAAAATATCCTAAATATATAACGATTAGAATTGTACAATTAGGAGCAAATCCATATCGTTCTGTTGTAGCCCAAACGTCACTATGTCCCAAGTTAAACTTGGGATATCCCAAATCGAAATTCCTATTTCGGACTTCT